GGACTGTGAATGAGTATTCCGCAGTCGGTAGCGCCCGACTGCAACGTTCTTACTTGTTTTTAATATATATTCAGACTATTTTGATTCAATAGAATATGTAGATCATATGCTGAAAGTTTCATTTAATTACGTTAAGTCAATCGACGTTGAAAAATAAAAAAATATTTAGCCAATTAACAAACGCACGTGCAGCAGCTACAGCAGTTTTCCAATGTGTGCACACATACATTCAAACTTATTCGAGCATATTCTTTGAATCACATTGCTGTTGTTGTGCTAGAGTTCTCAACAGTTGGTTTAGTATAGATTTGCTAGATGGCGCTGATCAGTGAATCTATTTCAGTTTTGCCATCACAATTCCGAAAAGTAAAGTGGCGTTGTGACATACTAAATGTTCGTTTTTGTTGGTTTGGTTCAGGGTACTTGCATTTCAGACCCTGAATCTATTGAAAGTGAGAGATCTGGGTATAATTGTTTTGCGAAAAGTATGTAATGGGCGGAAGGAATATTCGCAGAATCTATAAAGTTCATATATTCCTTTCCAGGTCTAAATGTGTTGAAATGAGGTTACAAAACAAAATCAATTTTCGATTATTCTCCATACAAAAGTTATCGGATGATTTAGTACAAGTTTGTATTACTTTTTCGATAGCTCATCCGATAACCTTTTTTTAAAAAAAATTTTCAGCCTGTGTATATACATACATATGTTGAATACAAACATTTTGTAATTTACAGATTTTTGATACCACGCCCCCTTCGCAACCAATTTGTAAAAAACGCATTTCAAATACTAGAATGCTTTGGAATGTACATACATTTGAACATTATGATTACGTTCTGAAAGTTTAATTAATTAATTAAATTAATGTACGTCTAGAAATTAAATTATTCCACAAACAAATTCTCATCATATTGCCCACACTGCATCGCAGCTCAAGCTCAGTCGCTGCTTACTGTGCAGTTAGCAGAGCGCGTTTTTATACGTGCGTGCAGATGCATGTGTATGTGTATATGTATGTGCATAAAAGAACTATAGAATGATTTGAATATCAGATTGGAGGGTTCAGGGAATCTCCTAGACGAGCAGTCTCGACTAGAACCTTCTTACTTGTTTTTTACATGAATAATTCTGAAAATATGTTTTGTCATCTATCACATTGTTGGATAAATTGCAAACTGAAGCAGAAGGCAGCAAGAAATGAATTTCTGCATCGCGTTTGACTTGACTTATTTCCGAGTCGATTATTTTATCTGTTAAGGAAATTGAAAATTTATATTTATGTAGGAATAGATTCCAATTAGATGTGGCTAAAGGCTGGCCAATTCGTCCTTCAGACTCAAGGCTGAAGGCTCTTAAAATGTCAATTAAAAATTGCATTTTTAAGTCAAAACTTGAGACTTTTCGAGACTTGAGCAAAAACTAGGTTAAGCAAACAAACTTTCCAAAATTACTAAACGTGGATATCTATTTAAAAGCATTTGACATTTTTTGTGCGACTTTGGCTGTTGTCCTGTTTTCAATACAAAGCTTTTAGCCAATTGATTGGCTTCGACCGCCTGCTTGGCCGGCTAGCTGCATTGCTGTCTCGCTGGCTAACTTGCTTTGGCAATTAAGAAATTCTTGGCCATAACTATCGACGCTTTATAATTTTTATCACATACATTTTTTATCGCAAATATCACAACTTCATCAGCAATCAACAATCGACCAACAGCAGCACTAGCAGCAGGAGCAGGAGCAGGAGAGGAAAACAGGCGAGCTGACAATTAACCATAAAATTAGCTGCAACTCAGCTCAAGGAATGCGGTGGCCAAGGCAAATTGAAAACAATTTAAGTTATTTGCATATAAATGCAACTTAAGATGCAGGCAACAACAGCAGCAGCAGCAACAGCAGCAACAACAACAGCCACAACTGCAACAATAACTGCTGCACATTGGCGATGTAAACGTGTTGGACTTCTAGTGTGCCTAGTTCTTTTATCACAAATACATTAACCACATAAAATAGTCACTATGCAACACCTGTGAGAAATGATCGATTCAAAGATACCCTCTCATATTCTAAAATTCATAATGCCAATGCATTGGCACGGCTACGTAAAGCATATTAGAAACTGTTGCTTTGATTAAGCTGTATATACATATACTAAAGCCTAGATATATATATATATATATATATATATATATATATATATATATATATGAACCTTGGAGGGTTCAGGGTATCTCCTAGTCGAGTAGTCTCGACTAGAGCCTGGATATATATAGCTGATATTTTTATCATTAACCACTTCTTTTATGCACGCACACATACATACATATGCATCCAGTCTCACGCGCCCGCGCTCTGCTATCTGCGCAGTAAGCAGCGACTGCGCTTGGGCTGCGCTGCA